TTTAGTGGTCATAGCGAATAAGAACCGTAATGTATAAAATGTATAAAATCCAGTAAATGAATCGGAAACCTTAAAATGGTGAATACAAAATTCCATGTAGAAGACGAGTTCATATTTCATTTCACCTTTCCTAGGAAAAAGCTGTCTCAAGAATCTCACTTTCAGACGTCTGAAGTAATAACAAAGCCAACATGTAAGGGATGGATAAAAAGGAAATATTCGATTTCCCATCAATTCAGTAGTTCAGTGTGGATTTGATTCGTTCGTTTGGAAAGTGAAAACATTCTCAATTTTTCTAAGTCATAAGTTATGGTCTTTCTCAGAAAAAAAGAACAAACTATGTAAAATCTTTCTCAGCATCTTTGTTTTGTTCTGGATCACCATAAATCTTTCTCAGCTTGCATATGCCACCACTATTGTAATACTGGCTAGCTAGTTTCCTGTGCACATCAAAAGCTAAAATCAGAAAAATTGCTTTCCTTACCTACAAAACCTTCAATCCTGTGGCCTTAAACAGCCTCCGGGGAGAAGGAACCTAAACTTGTCTACATTTTTTATCAAGTAAGCAGGAAGATGAACTGCAGAAGTCGAACGAGGTATTGGTCCCATCTTCTTAATCAACTCCTTGAATGAGTACTCTTCAGGTAACATATCAAAAAGATCATCTCCTCGACAAATGAGCTTTTGAATTCTTGCATAATTCAGAAACTCTTTCCGCTTCACACGGTCTGCATGGCTATAAGCAGTCATCTTAAACACAAAGTCTTCAATATGCCGAAAGCAAAAACTACAATGCCATCCTGCATCAGAAAATAAATAATTTGTTTGTCGAGAGTGCTGATAGAAGGTACGTGGTCCATAGATGTGGGATGTAGCCCGCCAGCTACTATAGTCCACTGGGAACTCAAATGAATACATGTAGTGCTTCAGCTCAAGATGCATTGTAGATGGAATCCCGTCACACCATTGCAGTAATTTCACAGTATGTGGGCTTGGGATCTCATCAGTATCTGACATTATCAGTACATCACCATAGGAAATCCCCGCATGCCGAAGTAAAGCATTCATAGCTATACGTTGCTTTTTCTCAAGTTCAAAGGGGTCTATACGCGATCCATGGGGTACAACTATGCCAGGAAATATATCATGGACGACTTTTTCCTCAGCAAAGGCAAATCTGCTCCAATTTGTAGCAAAGAAAAGAGGCTTCGGGATGCCAGTGAAAGTGGTATATGCCTCAAGTATTACCAATTTTGTGACATATGGATAAAGCTCATGCCACCTAATATCGAGCATGTCTAACTCATTGCTAAAGATGATGCCATCGAAAACACGGCGGGGTTCAGCACGTAGGGACCAGCCATGAAGGTGGCAAAGATGGTCCATGGTTACATTTTCAGCATAGTAGTGTGGCAGGCGTATGAAAGGGGTTGGGGGCTTGTCCCAAAGTGGCCGAAAGAAGTACGAAATTTTCGGGTAATTTGTGTAGATTCCAAATATACATGTAGGCACGATTATCAACAGAATGAGACAAAAGAACTTAGGTGGTGTTCGTCTGTGAGTAGGGCGGAGAGATCGTATTGCCATACCTTGAAATATAATTATCAAGATGGGCAGTACTTAACATGTTTGTCCCAATTCAACTACCAACATAAACATTGCTCTAACAACCTTGGTCACCTGCATAAAATTAATATGTAGATTAGCTACTACAATAACAGCCTTCATAATATATAAGGCGATAAGTCACTTTGCATAAAAGTTCAATGAATGCTATTACAACCCAGATTTTGATGAATGCCAGAACAGGAAGGAGCATATCCTCAATCAAACTTCAATTTAATCATATACTTACTCAAACACAAGTAAACGAGCATTTCTGTTTTTCCAGATATGAACAAATTTCTATAACTTTCTATTCCAAAGATTAATTCTAGGATAAAGAACTGTGCCCTTATTGTCTGATCTTATGTAAAATTAGTTGCTTGCCACCCTAGCACCACCAATAATACTTTCAAGTCAAATGTACAGAGTTGCATAGAAAACAACATATCAAAGTTATATATAACAAAGAGAGCGATGAAGTTAAATATTATAGCATTTAACTTTGTCTTCTTCCTCCAATATACGATATATAATACAGAAGAAATGCAAGAGAACAGGACCAAAAGGAATTGCAGGACAAAACCAGGCCGGTCAAGCCCAGATGAGGATCCAAAGTTCCCAACAAAATAGTTGCCGAAGAATTCTTGTTTTTGGTCTTATTCCTCAAGTAACTATGCAGAATCTAAACAGATGTTGCAGAAAGTAAAGAAGGCATCGAGAAGGCAGCAGACGCATAGAACCATTACATAATCAATTAGAACTTGTTGCACAAACTTACTCCACGGCGTTGATGTTTATGACAACACACCAGCTTTCAAAGGAGCCAAAAATTGAGATTTGAGAAGGGTTTTGGAATTTATTTTCGAGCTGTTTTTATCAAAAGATGGGGTATAGAAGAAAGAGAAATGCCAGCCTCATGTCATGGGGTAATTTTATTCTGCCCATTTTACAGACTTGATTCCAATCAATGCCTTGATCTTCTTTCCTTTCTGTGGGAATTATAGCCGCAGATTTTGAAAGATATTACAAGGTAATTAAAATCAATTAAGGCTAAGTGGAATGCCTGACAATATCTATGCAAGCAACATACTCTGTAGGAACAAAAAAAAGAAAAAAGTTGACACCCTGCAGTATTGCTCTAAGGTTTTGGATGTGAAGCCTAATATGGTTACTGAAACACTCAGTTTGGTGGTTGCCTCTTTAACCATTATTCATGACAGTTAGCACAATATAGCACCAAAAACAAATTGAATGAAACCCACTAACTCAAAAACAAATTGAACGATACAAACTGTGACTAATTTCAAATTCTATACTGTACATACTATGACTTATGTGAAGAACATTGAATACGTGAAATTTTAGGCAATCATTTTCTCTTGCTAAAGAGTCAAACGAAAACCAACAACATTCAAACAAGGACCCACCTTCACGAGGTAAGTAATCAATCAACAAAGAACCCACCTTGCTATGAAGAAGAAAATTAATAGTAAAAAAAAACACAGAAAAATGATAAATACGATACTTACAAAATAAAAGCTTGACCTTGTTGAAGTTGCAGAGGCTGAGAGGAATGTTACTTTGCCGCGCACGCATTGCCGCCAAGAGAGAAAGAGAAGCGGAGAATCTCAGAGGCAGAGAGAGAGAGAGATATTGTAGAGATTGAGAGAGATTTAGGGGACGAGAGAGAGGAAGGGAAGCTCGGAGGCAATATCGGAGCACGGCTGGTCACGTGCGACGAAGTGGTGAAGACCCGAAGCCGGAGGAAGTGGAACTGTGGAACCTCGGAGCCTTAGGAAAACATGCGAACAGCGATCGCCTACAGCTGCAACATCGTACAATTTGCAATTACAACTCGCGGTGGGCAGACACGTGTTAGGAATTGGAGTCGAGAGCCAGATGGCACATATTTATTGGGTTATTCAGAGCATAATGTGTAGGTGAATCGGTGATAAAGGTAAGGTCGGCACTCATGGTAGTGGCTGGTTATGAGTGATGACTTTGGAGTGATCGACCGACGTGGATATTTTCGTATATCCTATTGGAATCCACGTTGGATCTGGATGGACTTGCGTGTCAAATCACCTATTTACCCTTATTTAAAACGACCCCGTCCCTTCTTTGCTATAAACGAAAGGTCGGTTTTACAAATAGCAAAGGAGGGTGAGTATTAAGTTAGGATTATGATATGATATGTTGTTTATGTTAAGAGTTATTTAGTTATGTTTAATTAAGTTTTAATTAAATAAAGCTACTCATAGTCCAAATCAAGTAGGATTCCTAGTTTGTAGAAGTTGTGGTTGAGATTGTTCACCGTAGTTAGAAATGTTCCATCAACATGCTCCAATAGTCATAATAACTATTGAAACGAGGGATCGTTGGTTGCACGAAACCATTGCCTTCAGACACCATTTAATCTTGCTGCTGCAAGAGTAAGACTACTGCTTTGTGTTTTGATTAGGCCCCAGTAAAAGGGCTCTGACACCAAATGTTGGAACTCAAAAGAGAAATTGAAAGCTTGAAGCTATTGAACTTAAAAACCGGAAATACTCTTTACTGAATTAGACAAGATTACAACTTAAATATAATTAATCTAGGCTGCACATTAAACACTAACTCAACTTATGCAGATTTTGTGGAACTAAACTAAAACAACGGAACACTTATGATTGTGATGAACAACCGCAACCACAACTCCTACAAACTAGAAATCCTACTTGACTTGGACTCTGAGCAATTTTATTTAATTAAAACTTAATTAAACATAACTAAATAACTCTTAACAGTTTAGAGTTTAGAGTTCGGTTTTTTTAAATTAAGAAAAGTCAATTATATTAAAATAAAACGAACAATTTGAATTGAAAGACAACTTTGCATTTTGGGGGTTGTGAAGCCCCGTTTGATTAGTGTTGTGTAGTTGTTGGTCTCCTGGGGTTTATCCCCCTAGCTTCGTTTGAAAAAAGAAAAGATAACTTTGCTTTCGGTTTCATATTTATGTTAGGACTTCTATTCTATATATAAGAATATGCTAGTTTACAGGAGGGCTTGTAACACAAGTAGTTAATAATATTTACTTCATGATGGATTCTCTTTTTCTCCATATCACTTATATAAGACGATGCTAATTCATATTAAAAAGAACGCCAAAAAAAATTGAATATTTATTTATGAAATGCATGTGAAGGCATTGTTGCAAACACACACAACATTACAACGGTGGTTTTGGCAAAAACATTACGAGGTGGGTCGAATGCAGCACATGCTTGGCATTAGAACATTAGCCCAGTTTAAGAGTAGCTCTTAGCCCATCCGATCAGGTACTGCTTGATATAGTCAGAGCCCAACCAAGTCCAAAACTAGATTTTATTTTATTTTTTCCAAAATTAGATTTGAAGTGCTCTAATTCTTGGGTCTTGGGTCTTGGCGGAAGGAGAAAAAGAAGAGTGCTACTCCTACTTTTATATAATAAAACATGTTTCTTCTACTGCGGGGAAAATTAAGGTGATCCATAAGTTATACAAGTGATTAGGATGGGGTTCTACACAATATCTCTATATTTTACACAGCAAAGTCTTGGTCATTCAAAAATACATGTGAAAGAAAGAAGCCTGTTGGGGTCTACGGAGCAGAACAGTCAAATTTTGATGACCCATGCATGCATTAATCACTCCTCTTAACCAATTTGAGACGTTGCACCGATCTGATGAAAGTTCTGCAGAACCAAAATTCAAAAATGAGTTAAGAAGGAAGAACACAAGATATACAGAGACCCATGAGGCCTAATCTGATCAATAATATTGTTTAATTACTTTCTTAACCATCATTGTCTTGAACATTATTAGGCAACGTGTCAAAAAATGATGGATGTATTAATTATATACCTCCAAGGAACATCTTGAGCAAGAAGCCAGTCTCCCTCTCTGTCTTGGTAAGTGAGTTTATAATTGTTTGAATCCATCTGACCTGTTCCAGATCAATCCAGACACGGTTGTTAAAACCCAAATGAAACACAGGAGTACATATATATCAAACATTTGTCACTTCCACGTACTTTAAAACTTACATTTGTCAAACATGTCCATCAAGGTGTCTGCGAGTGTTTGGAAAGAGTGATGGAGGCTTAAGTCGATCTTTCTTGCTATTCCCACTCCTTCCATCTTCACCTTAATGAATGCAGAGTGGTGGTGGTTTGATGATCCTCTGCCACCACCAGAGCCATTCCACACCGTCCGATGATCGTGACCATGGTTGTGGTTGTGGAAGCAAGCCTCCTTTCTCCATGACTTAATGGGAGGCCACCCTACCAAACCATCTCCATCATTTCTATGGCCAAACCAAATAACATTTTATCAGATCATTTTAGTTTACTTATTAATTCATGGGTAAATACTTATGTTGAAGAAACTGATTAGTTAAGAAGAAAAAACAACACAAAATAGAGTGAATTAAATAAGTGGGCTAGGATAGTGAGCTCATCCCTTCGCATTCAAGTTTTGAATTTTGAATCTATGTTCTCATAGATTAGACTAGTTTAAACTATCGTTTGTATATAAAAATCGAAATTTTGGTGTAAAAGAGAGAAAAGTACTTGATGACAATGGTAAAGCGGGAGTTGTTGTCTTGGTGCTTATCAGGGTCGTCGTCGTTATCGTGGTGGTTTGGTTGGTTGTTGTTCCAAAGGAACAAAGGCAGCGTTCGAGGCACGGCTGCAGTGGAACGACTAGTGTTATTGTTGTGGTCATCAAAAGCTTGGTCAAAGCTGCGTTTCTTGTTGTCATAATGAATAGGTTTGGAAACAGCTGCTACTTCCCTAGCTTCGTAACCAAAGTTGTTTAAGTCGAAGCCTTTGATTGGATTGCTTGGAAGAGCGAGACCCAGTTGAAGCTCCATCTAAAACTAAATCCAACAAGAACAAACAAAAGGTTACCCAATAAAATATACAAGATGATGATGACTTTGTGTGAATGAGAAAGAGAAAGAGAAAGAGAGAGAGAGAGACAGAGAGTTTGGGATTTAAGGGATCTGGGTTTCTTGCTGTAATATTTATATATATATATGTATGTAACATGAGAGCAGGAGAAGGTTTTATTTTATTTAAATAAAAAATAGAGAGTAGGAGAGAGTGAAATAGATGGGGGGACATGGGATGGGAAAAGGGGGTGGTGAATAAGAGGCCGGAATGGGCGGGCATGGGACAACAGTGCTGGGGACATTGCCTAAGGCTGTCCGTGTCAATGCTTCACTTTTAGCCGACCCACTTGCCCCTGCTGTTCCTGCAACTCGCCCCCTCATTGCTTTCTGAACCCCCAACACTTTATCTATACCATTTACTATTTAGAGAGCTAAGCTCCTCACGCGAATCAAGACCACCTCTTTTAGACAACCGCATCAAATTTATGAAAAGTTATTTTAGACAACCGATTTTTCGCTCTTCTTTTGTGTTCAAAATTATAAGTTCTCACTCCTTTTTTATTCATTTACAATTTTTTTTTTAATAAAAAATAAAAAAAATAAAAAGAAATATAAGTGAACAAAAGGAGAATGAAAAAATTATCATCCTTATTTTATAATATTAAAATACACATAATATAACTCGTTCACATCTCGATAACCGAATTAAAATTTTCAACTTTTATGGTATATTATAACACATTCACGAGTTATACCGTGTAATTATACTATAGTCAATAAAAGAGACGTTATACTATAGTCAACCTCTGGAGCCAGGTGGGTCCAATGACTCCAATCTACTCAACACAGACAATAACTCATACAAAACTGAAGTTGATCACATTGACACGTTAAGTGTGTGTTAAGAGCATCCACAGTGGGGTGTAAATTTGGGGATGTAGCCGTGGGTTCCAGCCTTTTATGTTGACTTTTCTTCATTTTTCTTCTCTTTTCTCGGATGGGTTCCGCCTGCAAGGGATGTAAATATACATTTTATTTTACATCCCCATGGTGGTGATGTATATTTACATCCATTTATATCTCACCATTGAAGACGATTCCGGTTACTCGGGGTGTATATTTAACATACACCCCTCCACAGTGCATAACATATACTGACTTCTGTGAAACAGGATGAGTTTAGGGCCACAAGACAAGATCATCTAAATTAAAATTAAACAATCAAATTGATTGAGACAGTTTCTCTTTGGTTAAAAATTTGCATACGTTTCCTTTTGCGATAGCGATCGAGTGACATGGTTGGGAGAGAATCCTTGAGATGCAAAACAAACAACAAACAACCACCAAGGAGATAAACAAATTAATATATAACAAATGTTGGTACAAAAATGGACGAGACATATGTTCCCTATGTGCTTTGTTTTGGTAATGTTTAGGCTTTATGGGTGTTTTTTTTTTAAAATCTTTCTTTTTTGTATATGTATGGTTGTTGTTGAAGCTTACATTATATGGTACACAAAGCTCCAACAAACCAACATAGAAAAATTGCCTCCTTTGAGTAAAGTCACATTCTCACTCTCGGTCCCGGCTTGAACAGCATTATTGAAAGAAAAAGCACAGTCCTCGGGGGGTTCCACGTGATTGCCGGCAAGCCCACGAGACCCTGGACCAAGCCACCCGCACGAGGCAACCAGGCAAGGATTTGAAACATGGTAGTGTGGTGTGACCGTGTGAGGGTGCCACCCCACATTCCAACAAAAGCACTACATTTTCAATTTAGCTGCCTGCCTGATCGCAGATTTATTAATTAGTCCCATGCATGATGCATGCATCCAGATTCCAACGAAACCCTAGATGCATAATGCTGGTTCAAACCCATGTGTCCAATGGTCCAATTCACTAGGTTAAGACTGTGACTGATTGAATCAAGTCAATTGCAGTGAGGTTATATATGTGTTGAGGGCTTATAATGAGAAAGTTCTTAATAACCGTCCGATTAATGAACTCATCAACATTGACGGCTGAATTGAACCCCCAAACTGTAAAAGCTCGCAGTCAATTGGACTAAATCTCATCCAACTCGATTTAATGTTTCAACGGTGAAGAGTGGAACAGAAATGTCGTCCACTAAAGCTGTAAAAGATTGAGTGGCGGCCATGGTGGTGATATTTTTATTTTTTTTCGGTGGAGAGGTCCCCTAGCTAGGAGGGGCTAAGCTAGTGAAGGAGAACATTCAGACTTTGTCCCTCAAAGAGGTCCCCTCTCTCTACTGGAATAAATCTCAAATCCTGTCCTCCTTCGACATATTTCACGCGTATGAGGTGGACGTTGATGTTCTTGCATCATCTCACAAATTTGAATGTTTCGATTAATGAAATGACTATAGAAATGGAATTTGGAAAGCATATATATATATATATATATATATATATATATTATAATAATATAATATAGTAGAGACTAGAGAGAGAGAGAGTGAGTGTGGGGACAAAGGGACAAAGTATATATTTTGCTTGTATTATGATGACTTTGAATTGTGGTGTTGCCGTTGCGGGACCAAAGTTTCCCATCAAAGGTAAGCAAGCGTGTGACAAACAATGTGAGATTTTGATTCTCTCTCACCCTTTTGGCCATGAATCTTCCCTCCCAATATATCTCTTTCTTTATTGTTTAGATTTTGATTGCAATACACGTATGAAGTTGGGTGATACACGCAGGACTTGAATTACAAACCGATTGCAGATGATATTATTTAGTCAAACTCAAATATGATGAAAATGAGGACTTGCTTTTGCTTATAAAAAATAAACAAATCGCAACTTTTTAGGAGTAAATCCAAATAAAATCAAGCATATATATATATTCCTGGATATGATTGTCTTCGTTGATTGGACTTGCACTTTAAACTGTTTTAACTGTTTAATTACGTTTCATTCATGTCGAATTAAAACTGCGAAATGATGGCAAAAGCCGAAAGGAAATGGACATGATTTGTTTGTCATCAAGAAAAAGAGCAGACGTCGGTGGTAGTAAATATGGTTTATCAAGTCATTAAGTTGATTATTAAACTTGAGCACAAGGAAGGGTCCACTTGACTTAGTGCTTTTGATTTTGCTGCAGGCAGCTGCTTCAGAAAGCATTTTCTCTGTTTGGAATTGGGAACTGGGAATTGGGTGGATGGTTGGTTGGTTGCTGCTACTACGACTTTGAGTCCTCATTGTCGGTTTAGATACGAGCAATATTACTGATCTCTGATAGCCTCCCAAACCACACGCTTCCCTTCCCTCCCCCACTTTTAATCACTTTTAATAATCACATTTAGTTTTAGGTAGAAAGTAAAGCCAAAAATAGTGAGACCTGGGCAGCATCCTTTAAGCTTTCTTACTCGATTTCCTTGAAAATAAAATGGTTTCCTTGCTTAAACGTAATATGTCTTGTGTTGGTCGGGTGGGGGATAGAAACCAAAAATTAAGTAGGTGGACGACCAAACCACTGGTCATATAGTGTCTGTCTGTCAGCATCATTCATTACCCTAATTTCGTTCAACACCATTGAAATTTGAAACTGGAGTAGCCCTCTTCCTCTTGACTCTCTTGATTGCTGCTGTGACTGTCTGACTCTGACGGGGCAAACAGTAAAACAAGGGGGCATCAACATATTATTTATGGAACCTTTTTAGTACCCTCACTCACTCAGCTTGCTTTAGTTTGAGTCTACAAATATTATAGGAATTAATTCTACATCAACATTAATTTTCCACATGCTAAATGCTTGTTAATGGTATGGAACCCAAGATCAGATTTTGTCCTGCAGCCATTTCACCGTTATCTGAAAACAATGTATGTTAATGTTAGGAGACTCGCTTTTACTTTTACAACCCAAAAAAATGAAAGAACAACTCTGAAAAGGTTGCAGTAATTTTCTAGTCCAATTTTTGGATTGTTTTCAAAAGTACCCAATAGGCCCATTTAATGGAATGGTTTCAAATTTGACGAAATTTCAACCTTTAAGCCCAAAATCGCATGATACGAGAGAGGAGAACACATAAATATCCATTGGGCCTGTACAACCCACAACCATGCTTGCTTGCTTTAGAATAATGAGTCGTTCTATGGTGAATGTGTCATATATGTACCATAAATATTGTGGACCTTTGTATTGGCTATATGATTAGTAACTTCACTTAAGTTTAATGAAATGATCATGTAGCTAATATGAAGATCCACATAAAAGGTCCATATATGGCACTCTCACTATAAAATTTTGCTACCCTAATTGTTTTTTTGGGTCCACTTAATTGCACGAAACAATCATAGCCCAACGTTGTGTAAGCTTTCATTGGCAAACCCTGTCACTCGTATATTATACTAAAAGCAGCTCAACCTTTTTTTTCTCTTTCTAAAAGTACAAAGGATTAGGTGTGGGGATTTAAACAAATATTCATTACGGACCCAGCATTTCAAAATGGGGTGGCCTAGATTTACCTTACTGGACTGTTAGATTTTAGACTCGACTAAATCCTTAAGGAAGGCTTATGGAATTGATCATAAATATATATAAATTTAATTTGAGAACATATCATTTTTATTTTATTTGTTTAAAAGGCATATTTTACACTAACAATGCCAGCAACTTTTCATTATATATGCTTAAATATTAACACTAACTATAAGAAAAGAAAAAACTTCGGCTATAGCCCAGGTTGTACATAGCATAGGTCTGTTCCTGTCTCGAGTCTACATAAATGGAGGTGAAAAAGCTCAACTAACTGAGCTATACTCTAATGACACTTGAATGGCTGCTTTTACAGCTTCTTTTCCGTTGAAGAAAATGAATTCATTGATTAGCCAAAGAAAAACGTTGTTTGGGTGGTTGGGGTAGGGACTAAATTACCATGAATTATTAGGAGACAAAGCGGTACCACTAATGGCATGAAGTCAAGTCAAGAATTTCAGCCCTACTTTCATTGGTACGTAGGGCTTTAATTAATCAAGCACGATTCTCATTCTGAAAAGAAAGAATCCATTCAATCCAAGAAAGATACTCCATTGCATATAGGGGATATGTGACCAAAAAGTTACACTTTTTTTTGAACGTCATGTAATGAGGTAAATAGCTGTAAGAGGAAACTTTGGCTGTTGGATTGGCCCAAAAAACTCATTTTGCAGGGCAACCAGG